TGCTGTCTGTCATGGCTTACTCTTGTTCATCACACACACACACACACACACACACACACACACACACACACACACACACACACACACACACACACCGTTTGGATTCAAATTTGCTTGTTAGTTAAAAAATTTTAGTGTTGATTCTGCAGCTATGTATGATGTACAATCTGCCATGTCAAGGAATGGTCTTTGTCAGATGATGTCTCATTTTTAATTGGGCACATTCTGTATTGACAATTATACTGTCCAGAATTTTAAAGATAGCACCAGTGGCTATCTTTCTACAAAAGTCGAATGTCAGTGAAATTAATTCAGTCCAATTCAAATGCATACACAGAACACATATTACCAGGCAATGATCCCTTGTTTAGAGGTGCACAAAATTGGGAAATGTATTTCCAGAGATTTGCCAATTATGATTCATGTAAAGCAAATCAAATTACTCTAGGGTTGAGTAAACATAATCGACCAGTATTTCACCTTCCTGAATCATGCAAAAGATTGAAAGATGAGCAATTAGCAATTCACTAGAGAGCAGTCAAAGTGTGAGCAGCATGAATCATTCAGTAGAGTTTGTATACATACATATGTAAACCTTTGGCTTTGCTGGACACTGGAGTATCAAAGTTATATATCCATTAAAGTTGTGATTGATATACTTGAAGCTTGTCCTTTTTCACTGATGGTTTGATCTGATTTTAACTGTAGGAAGGCAATGTTAAGACAAAGAATTTCATTCATTAACAGTGCCATTGGGCGGGATAACAGAGAGATTAGATTGGCTTTCTTTGGTTGAAGAGTATAGCAGTGGTTGAAGAGTATAGCTCATTGGAGACCAAGTTAATGCCACAACTCGTCCAACAATGCACATGCACGCACACGTGCACACACACGCACACATACACCTGTTAATCTTCATGTTCCAAAGCGAATATTTTGGTCCTGGGACATTAATACTCTGTCCTTGGGGGATGTTGACTTTCATATTTAGTCTGAGGAACCAGTGGGTTGTTTTCTGACCATATTATTCCAATTTATTGAAATCACTTTTCAACATGCACAAAGTAAAACCCTTTGCCCCAGATCAGCATTTTGACTTAATATTTTCTGGAGTTATTCTTACATTTCAAATCCCATAGTTCTACCAACTGCTTTTCAATCCTTTCAGTTTTCAATTAATCATAGTATAGTGTACTGTATGCTATTATTAAGTTTGTATTGATAATGATGGCATGGTACTTTACAGGTTTTGTTGATAAAGCATTGTCTGAAATATGATTAATATAGTTTTTTGATTAAAATTATTGAGGAATTATTGTGATATGAATTACCAAGGTTTGATCTGATCACAAATTGTGCTGGACAGATATGTAAAAAATATTGATTTGGAATTGTCAGTCCTCAGGATTCAGTATATACATTTTCACCTGTGTAATCTTACTCCATGAGGTGTACAGATCAGATCAGATTTTCCTGGACTTGGACGAATATGGATTCAAATCCAGTAAATAAATATCCTTGGTAATAATATTTCTGAATTACATGTTTCCTATTTACGTTGCAGATGAATGGAGATGGCATAGAGTGGGAATATGAAGAGATTGCACTGGAGAGGGTAGGTGATACAGATAGCAAGGGTGTGTGGTATAGATTGGAAGGGTGGGTGATACAGATGGCAAGGGTGGGTGCTATAGAGCATTTCCATTATAACAGCATTTTCACACTTTGAAAATTACCAGTCTGATTCTATAGACTGTTACCTATTTGCAGTAATTTCTGAAGTTGGAAAAAGGATGCGAACATATGGTGATATTATGGCTTGTGAACAGACAAACCAATTTTTATTTCCCCTACAAAAAAAAAAAAAAAAAACATGTATATCCTATTTCTTCTTCTCCAGGGAGGAGCAGGACTTGGTTTCAGTATCGCAGGTGGCACAGATAACCCACACATTGATGACGACCCCGGCATCTTCATCACAAAAATTATACCAGGGGGCGCTGCTGCAGCAGACGGAAGGTTGAGGTTGGTTCCTCTTTGCTATTTCAAATAAGTTCAATTTCTGTTTAGATATAGAATTATCTTGGGTAAAGCCTAGGTCCCAACTACGTTTTGGACGCATGGTTTTTAGGTTCCTTGCGTCCGGCTAGGACGTAGCTAGATAGCAGGGAAGGAATCGGGAAGGAGTTTGTGCGTGAGGAGCACGTCCATTTTGCAACTTTTGGAGGACGCAAACAGCACGTAGAAACTTTTCGACATGATCAACAGCCGCTACGTACGATCTAGCTACGTCTTAGACGGACGCAAGGAACCTAAAAACCGTGCATCCAAAACGTAGATGGGACCTAGGCTTAAGGTGACACAAGAGAAGCATGGTTGACAGGAAGACATTGCCATTTAACAAAGCACACTGTAACTCAATATTCCAGGAAGTGCATTTATATCTTTTGGCCAAGGGAATGAAAATGTCTGGACAAGTTTTGGGATGTATGCATGGGCCATAGATAGAGAAGTGTCACATATATTAATGCTGCTTAGATATATTTACAAAGAAGAATTTGCACCAATATTTCATCCCCTATGTCGGCCTCTATTTCAGGATAAATGACATTGTGGTCAAGGTCAACCAGACCAGCGTATTGGAGGTGCCGCATGCGGATGCCGTGGATGCTCTGAAGAAAGCCGGGAACAGTGTCACTTTGGTGAGAGGAGAGATAGCATACACAACTTTGATCTGTAATTCTTTAACTTGGGATGCCTTTCAGCGGTTTCCAACATTATCAGCGTTATCGGAATTGTCTACTGACCCACATTGTACATCCAGTAGTATTATTCATCAGTATTATGTACAGACACATTGTGTCTGTACTTATAGTCATCACCTGCGTCTGATGTTGCTGTTGTTGCTGTGTACTTTCAGTGATAACAAGATAAGTGGAAAAACGTTTGACTGCTTGTCTTCAAACTTATAGATCTGATGAATATACATGAAATACATGTGGAGTTCGAAAGTCGGCGTGACTGGATCATTTTCCAAAGGATGTGTTTTGTTTGTTTGTTTGTTTTACTCTGCTTATATTATACTATATGAAATACAGATTACACATTTGAAGGAAACCCCTTGGGTCTAAAATACAGGTCGAGTTAAAAAGAAATGCTATATTGTTTTGTCTGGTCAGTTTTGAGTCGTCCTTTGTGGGCTTAAAAACCACTTGCCACATTAACTCTCAAGTGGTAATTAAATACTTGGCCATAACATTT